ATATTGGGTTGCTTGAGAATCTTTGTTTTGTAAACTTGCATAAGTAAAAGTTACAATTTGATAAATTTCATTTTTCCTGAATGTTTCCTTAAATGACACTCAATTTACATTTATCTTTAAAAAAATGGAATAATTAGGTGGATCCCCCTTGCATAAACACCCTCTTGTGTCATGCACCTCCCACATCCACACTATAAATGAAGTTTAACTTGTTTCAAATTACCATTTGTAATATTTGGCGTGCCAATTGAACCTTGTGCATTTAATTACGATCTTATTTCATTCTTCTTGTGTATTTTGTTCCAATCAAAAATAATAATTCTAAATCTGTTGGTTGGTTCATTTTATTTTGAATTTGACTGAATTTTATTTCAGTATCTATATTCTTGTCTTTGAAGAACAAATACAAAATTATGTAATGGATGTGTATGTGTACATGCATATATGTATATATATATATATATATATATATATAATCCTTTTCTTTTTGGTGTTTTATGCATACATTCATACATACAAATATATATTTTTATTGTGCTCTTCCAATGAAATTTTACAAGCTTCCATCTCTTTTTGTGAGGAATAATTTTGCCTCTCACAAAGGAATCTATAACTACACAGAAAATGTGTTTAATAGATGTTATATTTTTATTCTTCCATCTCTCTTATGTATTACTTCCTATCCATCATGTTCCTTCTCACTCAAAGTAAGATATGTTTTAATTCTCAAGCAATCTAATAAATGCTGTCAATGAATCTCATTAATTAATTCAATACAATGAAACAAATTTGATTTTCCTACATAGTAATAAATAATAGTTGGATGCACATTGGCTTTTACAACTACCCCTTTCAACTCTTCCTTCAACCCTCAGTCTTCCTCGTCACAGTCTTGATGGGAACCTTCATTCTTTGTTTGCTCACAACAAACCACTGCAAGCCACTGAAAAAAGTTGGAAAAATCGAAAACTGCAACACATGATTTTGACTTGCAAATCAAGGAAGGATTGGTCCTTATAGAGATAGAGAGGTACATCAAACTTTTGGTTTTTGATTTATGAAGTGGAGTGTGTGTGTGTGTTTTTGTTTTTGTTTTTTTAAATTAATAATATCATGGCAACAAAAAACTGGTGGCATTGTAACTTTAATGTATGAAATGTATATATTTGCACATAATATTGTACTTTAAATCCTGAAGTATAAAAATATTCCATGCACAAAAGAAAAGAAAATATAAGAAGCTGCCCTTAGATACTACAATTCCCCTTTAAAGAGAGGAAATAATAACAATAATAACAAACACAGAAAAAGAAAAAGAAAAACCAGAAGCCACACTACCACAAAGCAGCCACTCAGGATCTGTCAGAACAGAGCTATAAATGAGTAAACCCTAAATGGGGGGCACATGTTCTGTGGTGGAACTGTACTGTTCACCATGCAGCACCATGCCCTGGTGCAGCAATTAGTCTTCACATTTTGACATGGTCCAGACAAATTCTGCAGCCTTGTTCCAGCAGGGGACAGATTCTGCCCTAAAGCCATGGCCATTGTCACATCAGTAGTTGGAATCACACCCCCTCCCTCTCACTTCTCCCCTTTTCATGAAAAACATGAAAAACATGAAATATGTATCAAACACCCACCACAAGATGAAAACACAATTCATTGGCCTGCTCTAGAGTCAAGCAACCAACATGGAGTGAAACCCATATCCTGCCCTGAAGCCCAGCCAACAGATTCCATCTGCATTCGCCCCCCTCTCCCATCACCTTGGTCTTCCCAGCAGGTGTGTGCAATGGAAGGTGCATGCATGTACAGGACAGTTACAGCTGAAATCCTACCTGTGGCTCATGATTGTTCCAGGGAATGGCTGGAAGAACTGTGTCCATTCATGCATTCACTCACCCATTCTCATTTCTTCTTCAAGTAATGCTTTTGAGTTCCACTTGGAGAGACTTCCACCCAAACATGATTGGCTCTCCGTTGACAAGACACAAGAGTGAACAAAGTGTGAGATCAATATGATTTGAATGACAATCATTCAGTTGCTTGCTCTCTTTCCATGTGAGAATTATTGAGTAGAAGGAGAAGGAAGCTGAACGAGTATGGGTTTCAACCACTCACTGAGTTTTTTTCCAATGAAAAGCTCAACCATTCAACCACTTCCTTGGTGTGTTGCATGGGAGAGTGAAAAAAATTTAAAATAAAAAGGAAAAGGAAAAAGGAAAAAAAGGGGGCAAAAATCCCAGAAGCTTAGGTCCTTTGGGGGTTGAGAAGGGGATGAGTGCAAGATCCTCTTTCATCATTCTACATCATAACACAGCACAGCACAAGGAGAAAAATGCACTGGATATCACAGGTCTTTAGAATTGTGTTTTACATGCACTGACATGCATGATGCTGTAGATCAACTACGGTTAGGATACTAACTGCATGGGCTGTGGGGGTTTGTTACTTGACAGATTAAAACCTTAGTTAACAAAAGTAACAATGTAGCTGTGAGGCAAGGACAGAGAGTTCCATGGCATAGATTGACAATGGCAAAAGCAGTGACACTTGGGAGAAATGGAAAGATGAAGGGCTACTAAGCTCTCCTTCAATCTCTCTCTACTGTGTTGGGGATTCCTCCACCTCACTTGCTTGCTTCCATTGTTATTGTGTTGCTCTCTGCTGGATTCTCTGACAAATGAATGGCAGAGTGAACATGTTCTCTTTTAATATCACAATGTTTGATTGATTCTTGTTGTGTGTGTGTGTGTGTGTGTGAGTGAGTGAATGAGTGAGAGAGAGAGAGAGAGAGAGAGAGAGTGTGTACACACACATCAATGTATGTAGGTTTGTATTATTGTTTTAAATATGGAAGAAATAACTGTTGCCCCCATGGATGATTATAGGATATTTTGTAAAAAATGAATTGTACTAACACCCCAATTCATGAAATATACTAAGAAATATAAAGAAAATGGCATAGATTTTTACACAAATATATTCTAGTGCAAATGAAGCCACCCTATCTTTACTTGTTTTATGTGAAACCTATATAAAATTAAGATAAAAAAGAAATAATAAAGTGATTCACAGCATTGCATGCTGCATGAATGTGTTTTTAAAGTGGTGCATTGCAGTGAGTTAATAAGTGAACTTGCTGATTTTGTAACTTGAAATGTTTGCATGCGCAAAAATGGAGGGGATGAAAGTCAGGTATAATGGTGGATATATTTTTTTAAATTGTAACAATGATGGTCTATCAAAACAACATCTATCATTGCATCACAACTATATAGTGACATCTAAAATCTGAAAAAAAAAAATAAAAAAATGAAAAAAAAAAAGATCAGAGTTTGAATCGTTTTTATTTTTATTTTTGTATGATGTTCTTATCACTTTACATTAAATTTGAACATACTGCACTATTCAGTGTAAGCAGACAAATGTGATGTAACATTAGATACTTGTGATATTCTTGGTGAAAAATCCAATGCTGTTGCATAAATATGCAACAAGTGATATCTTCAATTGCATTCATTTAACAAATTAATTGAACTGTTTTGATCACTGTCATCATTCACGAATGTACAATTGATATCTTCCTGAAGCATTTTTAATAGTTTTTGTTTTATCCCAGAGATAATGATATGTGCCCAGAGCTATCATACACAGTATCTAAAATTGATTGAATGATTTATAAGTGCAAAAAAAATGCATGAAGTTTTGTAAAAATTTATATGTGTGAGTTTAAAAAAGCTTACTTAAGCTCAATAATATTATAATTCATTTTTCATTTTTAAAATATTTCTTTAATATATTTTTTTTGAAAAAAGTCCAATTTCTTCTTGGAGTTTCACAAATAAAACAATATGACATTTTTCTTTACTAGTTTTTAATTATATCAATCTGGGAAATATAATTTGATGCAATGGAAATAAATATTCAGATGGATTTGAAGAACCAAGTATAATATTTCACATTATGATTAAGACTAACAGTTAATTGAAATTATACTTTAATGTAATATTATATCAAGTCTGGCATGAATATTGAGAAATAATAAATTATTACATTGATGTAATAGTCCTCTTTTTAGTTTGTGTTTGATGGACTGTCACATGAAACACTTAACTTTACCTTCAAGAAGTATTGTTAATGATTTTTAAGAGGGGAAAAAAAAAGAAAGAAAAGAAAAGAAAAGAAAAGAATGATAAACTAATCAACAGAAGACATTTCAAGTATCATCACAAACAATTACATATAAAGCCATCACAAGATTTTGCACACCACATGAAAACCACTCCATGGATGGCATAAGAGCTCACAAGTGATGTCCAAATAGCCTTAATTTGATGCAAAATGCAGTGCATTTGAAATAATCGTTCTTTAAGAAAATGGTGCAGTATCATTTATTTACACATGATCACTGTTCTAATATACAATTGTTAGGCAATGGTGTACACAAACAACAACAACAACAACTCAATGCTAGATTCAAACTACAAATCACAACAAACATTTTGAATAAAACCCCACCTGAAAAATATTCCAAAATTGATGTGGAGACAATTCACATACATGAAGTAAGCATCAGAGCAGACCAACAAGTCCACAAGGCACCATGCAAACACACAAAAGATGGTAGCAGTCGGAAATAGGGATAGACCCTGTGGCCGAGGGATTCAGGACCCTATAACCAGTATTTCTCTCACACCCAGTTTCACTGAGACCAAAATGGGCGGCAATGCTTCAATAATTCCCCCTTCCTGGTTATAAGGGACAAGTCAACACTAAGAGTAATAAACCAGGACTGCCACTTCACCCGAGTTGTTGTTTTATGGCCATTGCTGGAGACCCCAGTAACAAAACAACAGAAGATCCATCTAAAACAAACCAATGACGCAGCAGAAAACGAGCTCCAAATAAAATAGAATAAAATAAAAATGGGGAGGGAAGAAAATAGAAGAGGGAGGCATAATGGAAAGGGGGTGATGACAGGAGTCAATCATTCTGGCTGGGCCCCACTACCACCTAGCCAAGCAGAGACCATGGCCTCTTGAAGGAGGACCTCCATCGCTGCTCTTGCTGCCCCCATTGCCACACTTACTGCAACACACTGCAACTGCAACAACGCCTCTTCCTCTTCTTCTTCTTCTTCCTGCATCAGGGAACTGTGTGTGTGTGTGTTAGTGAGTGAGTGATTGAGTGAGTGAGTGACGGGACCTGATCATCGATCTCTCACTAGCACACTATTACTGCGGTGTCATTCACTCAATCTGTCGTCTCGGTTATCGGTGGCTGCAATCGATTGATAAGCGTTTCATGCAGTTGGAGTTAAGCGCTACGGAGGTCTGAATCGTGTTGACACCCTTAGACACGGATTCTAGAAGGTGTTGTTGCGCGATCGAGAAGAATTGGGGCTCGGTGGTGGTGGTGGTGAATGTGGAAGAGGAGGGGTCCGTGTGTGCAGTGTGAGTGGGTATTCTGACAGGCCAGGGAGGAGGAGGGGTAAAGGGGGGGAGGGGGTGTGGGTTGTGGGTTGTAGAGTGGGTTGTCTGCGACAATTGGTGGCTGGCTGCACATGTGAAGGTGCAGACATCGACACTTGGTTGCAGTTCATGCGTCGCCTTGCAGGCTGCTGACTGGACCAGCTGCACCATCATCGATCGGGAGTTCTGCCTTCGGTCGTCCCATCTAAGCGTTGTTGTTTGTATCCAGGGGCTGTAGTCTCATCCTCCAAGGAAATTGTACATTCCCCGTTTGCATGGTACAGAGTGGCCACGTCTCTGTGGGGGGCCTTCAATACTCTGGGTCGCTCAGTTGCATTGCGACCGTGTGGGAGTGAATGCAGTCAGTGGGAGTGCCAGGCTTGTGAGGTGACCGCCCGAGGAGGAGGAGGAGGAGTGCGCAAGCTTAAGTGGACTGCTCAAGCCCTTTACTGAGCAGGTGTTTGTAGCGCCGCAAGCGATCAGGGTGTGGAGGAGTGAGGATAAGAAAAAATGAAAATGAAAAACGAAATTAGGGGCTAGTGTGCCGGTGTTCGATGTAAAGGAAGGAGGTGAAGCAAGGTTTTGGGCCAAGCGAGAGGAAGAACACATTTGGGAGTTTGTGATGGACCTGCGACGCGATTCCGTTTCGTTGAACATGGACATTTCGCCGTGGGGCGGGCAGGTACAGAGGCTCCTAATCAATGATGTCATCCAGTTGGGTTGTAGATTCTGTGTGCCGAGTTTGAGTCAAAGCATAGACGAGGGAGAAACAGGTCGGATTAAGGTTATGCTGGTGGATGTACACTTGTTTTGCTTGTCAGCCTTGAAACAGTAAGGTCCACAGGTTTCACTTGTAGAGGTTTAGAAATGCGATATCAGGAGTGTTGGTATGGGTCTACCACAATCAGTGCGACAAATAGACATCAGTGTTGTTCCAACAATTCTTAGGTCTGGATTACTGTGTTCTCGGATGCCATGTCCAGTGTGTTGCACTTCTAGCTCTGTTCTCAAATTTGTCTCGGTGAATTCCCGACTCTTACATCGTAGTAAACTGTTCTTATAGTTCAGCTCTCAAGCGTGCGATTATCCCTCCTTACTGCTACTAATTTTAAAGTATTCCTTTAACGTCTTTGCACTTTTTGATGGCAGGAATATTTAGTGCCTACATCATTTGGCTCCGTTACAGTCACTGTGTGTGGAGATCAAGAGAAGCCCGCTCTTGTCACCTACCCCGACGTGGGACTGAATTGTAAGTTTTTCGCAAACCAATTTGTTATTCGGGGACGGTCCGAAATGGCCTGAAACGGCTTCTCTTTTTGTGTTAATTCATTCGAGGTGATTCCTGGATTGTTTTCGTGTTCATTGTTATAATCTTGAATATTGACACGGAGTCTATGTGCAGATTTTTCTTGCTTCGAGGGGCTCTTCTCTTCTCCTGAAGCTTCATCGGTGCTCTTCTACAATTTCTGTGTGTACCACATCGACCCACCCGGCCATGAGGTATTCATTTTCAACCGAGGCCGCTTTCCGAAGCATATTCGTTTCATAATTTTTGACGGTGAACCGGGGTGGCAAGCTTTTCACAGGATTAGCCTTCTCCTTGGTCGCAGTTATTCCAAATCCCACGATGTAGACACTGAACGTTGCGGTTGGTGTTATTTTCCAGGTTGGCGCACCTGAAATTTCTCCTGAAGAGTACTCTCTATCTGTCGATGATTTAGCCTACCAAGTTGCTGAAGTTCTTGACTATTTCGGAATTGATGAAGTTATCGGCTTGGGAGCCACAGCTGGAGCTTATATCCTCAGCTTGTTTGCGGTATGACCTCAAACAAATACTCCTGTATGCCCATCTGAAATTCGGTGCCTCGTATCGCTTTGAATGTGAGACACGCTGCCACCTTTACTCTTTTAGATGAAAATTAACGGTAGACTTTGCTTATGTGCAGTGCAAGTACCCAGACCGTGCATTAGGGCTCATCTTGGTGTCACCTGTTGCCCAAGCTACCTCGTGGACTGAATGGCTGCACAATCAGGTAGTCCTAAAAATTCAATCCAAACTTAAATTTCATTCTGTGTTGGATCTTATTAAACCAAATGTAGTATGACGATGGAATGTGCACTTATTCTCTTTGTGATGTTGGCGATATTGTCTTTTAAGTGTTATGTGTGGTTCTTGCAGGCCATGATTAATCTTCTGTATTTCTGCGGTATGACCAACTTTGTCAAGGATAACCTTATGAAACGGTACTTTGGTTTGGAAGTGCGCGATGCAGCAGATGCAGCAGGAAGGACAGACGTGCTACAAACTATCCGTCAAGTAAGTATTTTTGTCTTCACTGTATTTTTGTCGTTTTGATTGGCCAAGTATTTGTGTTGAGCATGAAGTTCTGAAGCCTATGTTAAGCCGTTGGTTCCTTAGTGATCCTTCCGTATTGTGCCTCACCCCTTGGAATTCGTGTTTGTCTCCACAGAACCTGGACGACAGGCGATGTGAAAACGTTATGCGCTATCTGCAAGCAATTCATCAAAGACACGATTTGACCGAGAATCTGAAAAAACTGAGGTGCCGGACGTTGATACTAGTTGGAGAGGAGTCGCCTTTCTACCATGAAGCCTTGCACATAAGCAACGCTATGAATAGACGTTACAATGCGTTGATTGAGGTGAGATTGGTGCACAATACTCTCCTTCCACTTGCCATCTCAAGTAACTTTTTGACTCTTTTGAAAGGCTTGCTTGTAAATAGGTTCTGATGGTCTTCCGTATGTTTTCCAGGTTGAAGGCTGCGGTTCATTAGTTACGGAGGAGCGACCACAATCCATGCTGGTGCCAATTGAGCTATTCCTCACGGGCTATTCCTTCTACCAACGCCCACTGAGGTCTCTTACTTCAAGCCCACGAAGCCCTCTCAGTCCTCTCTGCATGGCCGCTGAACTCCTGTCACCAGAGAGTCTGGGACTGAAGCTGAAGCCCATCAAGACCCGCGTTTCTTCACCAGTGCAATAGGCAACTTGCACATTTTGATATATACGTAGGAGTTGGACCGTGATGTTGTACATAATCCTTGAGTACCATCAAATTGTATCTTTCCGGTTGTGCTAAAACTCCAACAAGAGTGTAGCCCTCTCCCAATAAGGTGTGGTAAGCATGTCCCTACTCTACACCCCCAGTGAGCAATGACATGCTTCTTACACAGAAATGATGCGTGATTCCTGGTGAATGTCACCGCAATAGACTGCAATGCTGCGTTGTTTCAATAAAGAATCTGTACACTAGCAGTCAAACTTACTGCCCTCATGAACACCGCAATTTTTCGTTGTAATTTGTGTGACAACAAGCTTCTTTCAATAAAGAGTTCTGTACACTAACATTTCTGTCTGTACCCTCTCATCGAATGTGCCCCCAAAACATCAACTGCTTTATATATATATATATATATATATATATATTATCTTGCCCTCCCCGACACTCCAATCTTCACATTGTATCCTGGTTGCGTTATCGAAGTATTGAATTGTATCTTGATTCAAATATCTAAATAAGATAACTGTGACGAACCTCCAATCAGTTGCAATTCTGAATTAGACAACTCAATAAATGATTGAAAAGCTGCCTCGTACTGCCGATGTGAAATCTGTGGGGTTGAATGCAATCGGCGCTAGTGACGGAGACGAAGTGGAAACTATCACCACATTCGCGCCTACGCCGGCGCTCACACAGTGAATTACTCTTGTGATTAACACGAAAAAGCACTATGTGGGTGGTAATGAAGTCACCATGCAAACAAAGAGTCACAAGGTGGGGAATTTTGCACCTCAAACCCAGCGTGGGGATCGGCCTTCCATGATGAGATCCCCTGGGCCCTCAATAATGCAATTTGGCACAGCTCACGACGCAGTGTGGATTGCGCATTTGTTGCTTGTACTTTGAGGGAGCGCCAGCTAGGATGAGTGCTCCCCTTGCAGGAATTGCCATAATAAAGACCCCGACTCTCTCAGCCACGAAGCTTCACAACGGCGCAGAATCTCACACGGCAGCAAAAAGTGGAGCCTTGATAGAGGGAGAACTCGTCGCGGCAACACCCACCTCAGCAACAGCAACAACAACAGCAGCACTCCATCCATTCCCCGCGATCAGTCAGTCTCAGTTTGTATTGTATCGATTTGTGTCTGTCTGTATGTCTGTGCTGTCTGTTTGTGATGTCGTTCCTTTCTTCATTTACTTTGAATGTATTTATGTCTGCTTTTGTGATGCTCCAGCTCCACTCCCACTCCCACTCTTCCTCCACTCCGGGTCCATCACTTCCACTGCTCCGGCACCACACCCTTTTTGCCATCACCCTTATCGTAGATGAATGAAATTTCTCTTTATTCATTCATCTCGTTTACATCCATTTCGATGATGGATGGATTTGACAAAAGTATTCATTATATTTGTAATAGTTTTATTTATTTTTTCTTCTTCTGCAAATATATATATATATATATATATTGAAAATATAACGATATAAAATTTATACTTAACACATCAAAACATTAGAAAATATGAATATAGTATAATTCCTTACAATAGATATATTCTGGTACATTTTATTGAGAAATATTGTGAATATTTATGTATTTTCATATATAAATTACTCAGTATAAAAAAATACTAATGTTTGGAAGGCAAAAATACATACCAATAGGCACTTTATACATAGAAGCCAACTTTGAAAAGTCATGGTTGAAGAGTCTTATTAAGGTCATCTTAGTGAAGATTTTATTTTTTATTTTTATTTTATTTTTGTTTTTGGAAGCCTTAGCCTTTGGACATGGCATAAAGTGAGAAAAGACCATGAAATGAAAAAAATCATTCTTGTATTAGGAAGTCTAAATATGTCAATCTATAACTTGATTCAAACAATTAGAAGAAGAATTAAAATTATTATTTTTTGATAATATTTAAAGCATTTTTTTTACATGGCCTTTTTTATTTATTTCTAAAAAACACTTCTTTGGGATGGGTCCAACAAAAAATTATAAAGAACAATCTTATTCATGCAAAGTAGGAGAAAAATCGCATTCCACCTCAATATTTCTTTTGAAGACTTTTGGACTTATTTTTCTAAGTATAAAGCCAACTCTACAAGCCTTCTCAATTTCAAGTAATCAAAACATTTAAAAAACGATGCCTTTTATCTTGTCTGCAAAGCATAAAGTGGCTCTAAAAAAATGTTAAACAAGGAAATGTAAAATAATGACAGATATTATATAATAAAATTTGACACAATTTATAAATAAAAGTAATAAGAATAAGAATTATAACAACAATAGAATCAATTTACAAAACTTAAAAATGATGTGAATTTTTTTATGTAAACTATATAAAATAAAATTAACTTATCACAATTATATATATATAATACTTACAAAATAATCAAATTATTAAATAAAATATATTATATTATTATTAAATTTGATCCTCTATAATTTTTTTTATTTATGTTCTCTTATATTTAAAGGTATGGTTATATATATTTATTAATAAATATGGCTTCTATAGATTATACTTTCTTTTATTGAAAACCCTTATCTACTTATTTTATTTTAAAAAAATTAAGATAAGTATCATAATGAGCATTGCAAACCTTGATTTTTTAGAATCATTATAGATTCTATATGAAATCATAAGCATAAGTTATCCTAAGAATGAATCTTCACTCTCTAATACTCAAATAATATTCTTTTACAACTTTTATCCTCTTTTTCAAAAATAATTATGTACTATACTTTATTTTGTATGCTTTCATATTAGTCTGATGAATGCACAAAATTTCAAGTTTAGTACCTCAATCTGTTCTATGATATTTTAGTATGATATATTAAATTATTTTAATTAAAATAGAAAATAAAATAATTATAAATTTCACATCAATAAACAACCTCTTGAGAAGTTTGAGACTTTAATATTCAAATATCATTTAAGAATTAGATAAAAACGGCTTGTTAAAATATAAAAAAAATTCTCAATCGCATTTATTCTTATTAGGTCAAAAAATTATTAAAAGAAAAGGGGATTAAATGTAATATTCAAAATGACTAAAACTACAGTTATATAATAAATCCAAAATTCAAATGGTTTTATTTTGTTTTGTTTGGTTTTTTTATTTTTATTTTTTTTGAAGAATATATGTTAGAAAAACTACAACAAATTATATATATATATATATATATATATATATATATATATATATATTCAATCATAAAACGAAAATTAAAAGAAATTGATTATACTTCAAATTTTTGTGTATTCAATCTCAATAACATTAAAACAATATCTATAATATTTCAATTAACTTTCATATTAAATAAGCTAAACTAAAAATTCTAAGAGAACATTGAAAGTAATCAATCTTTATTTAAAATATTAAAAAATTATAAAAATTATAATGAAACAAAATAAATGAAATAATATAAAAATATATTAAAAAATAAATAAAACCAAAAATAACTATGCAACTAATATATAATAAAAAAACGTTTAATATATATATTTATTTACTGTTACACTCAAAAATAATTACACATATTATCATAAATAACAACATGTTTATTTGAATAGTGTTTTTATATTTAAATTTTATATTATAAGAAATATTTTTTTATATTTTATGTAATATTTAAAATAATTATAGTGCTCTTTAAATATATTTATAATTTCAATTCAACTTAAGCTAATACATTACATAGGTTTTAAATAAAAATCTCTTACATGATAAGTTTTTTTTAACTTCCTTATTATTAAAAAGTATTAATTATTATGTATAAAGAGTTAGAAGTTATTTAATTTGAATTGTAAATTAAGTACAACTTGTTTTCTAAAGGAAATGTATATCACATATTAAAATATGTTTTAATAATATACAAAATGTTGAATTTTGGCCGTTTAAAAATAATTTTATAAGACTCAATCAACCATTAATCTATTCTTCATGTAAGTAACATATAGTGATGGCATTCCAACATATTGGTGTTAAAAAAATAGTAATGTGAATAGGTAGTAAATTGAAGTCATTTTATTCTAAGATATAATCTTTGAAAATATGTTAATTCTTATCATACTTCTTATTAGCAAAGACGTATAATTATATATATATTCACAGACACACACAAATATTTTATTATGTGATACAAAATCTTTCAATAGAAAGAAAAAGAATCAAACTTATAATACTTGCATCAATAATAAGTTTTATTACAAAAAACCAATAATTGTATTTTTTATTTTAATTTCAATTTTCCATACAATAACAGATTCATGTTTTAATTCATTCAAAATTTGTCAAATAAATTCCATAAAAGATAAATTGTAATAAGTTTCACAAAAGAAGACGTATTTCCATTTTTGCCAAACACTTTGGATTTTTATTTTTTATTTTTTATTATAATACTCTATGTATGAATATATTCATACATTCACACATATTTATGGTTTAAGTCAAACATCTTTTAATGTGATTCAAAACAAAATATCAAATTATTTGAATTTCATTATTCATTTTGCAATAAATAAATCATATTGAAAAGCAACTGCCATTGATTTTGCTCTGTCAAAAATACACCAATTTGCAAACTTTCTCTCCAAAATCAGTTGACATGAACTCCACTTAATCTTTCGCTTCATAATTAGAATTTCAGTTCTTACTCCCTTGATGAAGAGGCATCTCCCATGAACAAAAATGAACAAAATGAATATCCATGTTTTTTGTGCACTGTCCGTGTCTCCATGACATCCAACCTTCCTTTCCAAAGAAATTCTTTCTTCATATATATTTAGTGTTTAAAATGTATAAAAACATTGGAATCCAGTGTTGGTTCCTCATCTCTGAAGCTTTGATTCCACACAGAAGCTCAATGCATTGTGGACAAGCTCCTTCCTAGACCACAACTTGCCATCTCAAGAAGAAGAAGAAGAAGAAGAGTTGTTGGAGGTTGTAAAGAAGAAGAAACAGAGGAAGATGAAGTGTTAAAGCAGATTGTACAGAAGAAGAAGAAGAAGAAGAAGATGAAGAAGTGTTGTCGGAGGTTGTGAAGAAGAAGCAGAAGATGAAGAAGAAGTGAACGGAGGGGTGTGGTGTAGTGTGGCGGAGGTGAACAGATTCGAAACGAGATGGTGAACAGCACCAAGACCATGACGACGCATTATGGTGAGCTGTTTTTCCTGGCCACCTTCATCGATAGTCCCACATGGGCCACCACAATCTTGCAGACGCCGTGTTCTGCAGAAGACTTCCAGAATCGTGTACCCCATGAATTCTCTTCATACCTGCACCTCCCAAACCTTTGCTCATTTCCTTTTGTGTTGTTTTGATTGTTGGAATCTTTGGCTTTTG